CAGCCACCGGTCGACCGACGACCACCGACGGCGGCGGCGGCTCGCCGGGTGCCGACGACGACAGCGATATGCAGCAACGGGAGTGGTGGCTCCCTCGGGGGAGGGCGACCGACGCCGACGCAGACTACGACCGCCTGGGGCGGTAGCGGCGACGACGAAGGTGCGACGAGGAGAGCGGCAGCGGCGGCGATGACGAAGACGGCCGACGACGACGGCGGCGACGGCGGCGACGTGCCGACGACGACGGCGTCGGCGTCGTGCTCGTTTTCGCTCTTCCTGGGCCTCCTGGAGGGTCCTTGTCGCCACGGCTGGATCCGTTTTGGAATCCTGGTCGAAACACGCTCCAGGACAGATCTGGTGCCGACTTCCAGGGGACGCACGGCTCCGCCGACGGCGATCAACGTCTACGACGACGCCGACGACGACAAGGGGGAGAAATGGTGGATGGAGGGGGAGCGCCGACGACGACAAGGGGGAGGAATGGTGGATGGAGGGGGAGGCAGAGAGGACGGTGATAGGGGGACCGGGATGGGACGAGGAGGAGGAGGAGGAGGAGGAGGAGGAGGAGGAGGAGGAGGAGGGAGGTGAATGAGTGAGGACAAAAACACGTGATGGTAGATGCCATGAGGAGGAGGAGGGAGGAGGAGAGGAGGAGGAGGAGGAGGAGGAGGAGGAGGAGGGAGGAGAGGAGGAGGAGGAGTGGGAGTAGGAGTAGGAGTAGTAGGTAGTAGTAGTAGTAGTAGTAGTAGTAGTAGTAGTAGTAGTAGTAGCAGTAGTAGTAGTAGTAGTAGTAGTAGTAGTAGTAGTAGTAGTAGTAGTAGTAGTAGTAGTAGTAGTAGTAGTAGTAGTAGTAGTAGTAGTAGTAGTAGTAGTAGTAGTAGTAGTAGTAGTAGTAGTAGTAGTAGTAGTAGTAGTAGTAGTAGTAGTAGTAGTAGTAGTAGTAGTGGTAGTAGTAGTAGTAGTAGTAGTAGTAGTTGTAGTAGTAGTAGTAGTAGGAGGAGGAGGAGGAGGAGGTGGAAAAGGGTTTGAGGAAGAGGATATTGAAGACGGAGTAGGGCGTGGATGTTGAGAGAAAAATGAACAATACTAGAAGGAAGAGGAAGACAGGAGAGAACAAGAAGAGTAGGGTGAGTTGCGAAGGGGTGTTAGGCCTGCCCGTTCGCGCCCAGATTGTGGGGATACCTCGAACGAGACGCTCGTGTCGCCCCCGACTCCTCTTCTTTCACATCCCCTTAATCACCGCCGCATAGCAATTGGGTACCCAAAGGGGGAGCCGTCAAGTGGTGCTGCATTTGCCTGTTGACTCCCGCTCCCATCCTTCCTTTATCGTTGGCAAGACACCGAAGTTCTGAGGCAGCTCCTTTGCGGCCAGATTGTGAGGATGTCTAGAGCGTTTTAGCACCCCGACTGCTCTCCTTTCATACCCCGATGATCACCGCCATGTAGCAAACATAGCGCTAGGGCACCCCAAAGGGGAACCACCAGGGGGTAGCTAGCATACGGAGGCAGACGGAAGGCAGAATACGGTGGCAGAGAGAAGCAGAGAGGAGCGCGAACACTGGACCTTGAACATATTCAGTCTGATTCACGCTGTGATTTCACGCTCAGGTGTTCACAGAAGGGAAAGTGGCAGATAATGCTACGCACGTATGAGGATCCCCGTTCCGAACCACTTGTCGTTGGATTATTGCTGCTATTGATGTGGGTGCGTACGCTGTTGTATACATATTCTCATTTATCTTACAAGGCCGTGGACCCCACGCAACCCCCTACCCGACGACTTTCGACTACCCTGGGCGACGGCCCCAAAGAGGGCCAACACGGTGCCAAGGCTGCCCAAAGAGCGCTCTAAGACGGCCTCAAACAGCTCCACGGCAATTCAAACGCCCCCAAAGGCCCCAAAGTAGCTCCAAGGGGCCCTCCGAGACGCCCCGAAGAGCCCGACGAAAACGCCAAACAAGCCAACGTCGTTCCAATCCTTGAGTATAACATACATCTTCAACCGTACTCGCTCTGTTATTTTCCAAGGCTCTAAAACGGTTCAAGAGGCCCCCCAAATCGTCGCAGAACGGATTCAGAGGCTCCCACAAAGCCCCGAGAAGGACCCAAGCCCAGAGAGCCCCTCGACGGCCCAAGATAGCCCCAAGACGGGCCAAAAGAGCCCCGAGAAGCCCCCGGCAGAGCCCCACGACGGCCAGAGCCCCCCGGGACAGCCTACAAGGGCCCCCAAACAGTCCAAAAGGGCCCCACGACGGTCCAGAAAGGCATCTAAGAAAACCCAAAGCGCCCAACAACAGGGACTCGCCTCCCACTCCGCTCGTGCTTCCCCATTCTGTGCTCACGATTGCTCCAGAAGCTGGGGCCCCAAGGGGTCGGCAGATTCGGACCGATTAGCTGGATCACTACACGTGCGATCGGTGCAATTCTTCACATGGGGCTGTGTTTGGATTTCCTATCGCACGGATGGCTTTGCACCCTTTTCATGCGCAAACGTACGGACGCATGATGTTTGACTTGGTTCTCCCACAAGTGGTCTGAATCTTCAACCGGAAGATGACATCGTTTTCCACTTACAACCTGCCAAGCCTATAATCTTGCTTTCGGACAATTGGACTTTTCGCACCTTGCATAGCATACGTTGGAAGGCGGCGTTCAGGACTGCGCCCAGGGAGGCGCAGAAAGATCAAAAAGCTCCCAGTAGAACCCAACAAACACTCAAAAACCACCATAACCCCCAACAAGCTCTCGCGAGATTCCCGGAAAGCCCTCCAAGGAGGAGGCCACGCAATAACATCTGAAAGTGGTAGCAGGGACGCGTTCGCAAACGATGAGTAAGCATGAGAGGAAACATGGGGTACAAGTGATAGATGACAGACATGTAAAAACGATGGGGATAACGGCAACAAGAAACCTTCGTCCTTTTGGGTACTCTCTCTCTCTCGCTCTCTCTCTCTCTCTGTCTATCTCTCTCCCGCGCCCCGCCTGCCGCCTGCGCGCCGATCCTGAAGGGCCAAAGTGATTGGGGTCGATTGCGGCCCCTCAGGGCCAGTTTTTCGGGGTATATGTGTTTATATAACACTTCATTTTGGGGCCAATAAACAGAATCCCCCTCCCCCTCCTAACTTCTCTCGCCGATTCCCTTGGGTAGGTAATGCAGTTCGTAGAATTAAAGCCAGCATTAACTTTATTAGGTTCAGTCGCTATATTCGTTTTCATGCTTTGATATCTTTCACCCTCTCCAGGGTGAGCGGATGCGAAAGCGGCGGAGGGGGGGTGATGAACAGTGGCTAGTACAAATTATCAAATACATAAAACGAATAAAATTAACGACTTTAATGGATTTCACGCCGGAATTAACTTTGCATGTTTTTTTTGGTAAACGTTATGAACTTATTACTTTATGATATTTGTCAACTATAGCCGCCCCCAGGAGGGCGGAGGCGGATGCGGCGGCGGCGGGGGCGGAGTGTGGGGAGTGGCGGCAAATGAGAAAGTTATGGCCTTCATGAAGTAAACAACTTTCGTAGCTTCCAGGGCGGAGGAAGCGGAAGAGAAGAAGCAGCGGCTGATAAAACCTACAAAGTAATAGAAGGAGTAACATTGTTACCGCTAATCGAACACCATAACTATATTTACTAACTTAATCAACCCTAACTAACTTCAGCAATCTCCAGGGGGGCGGAGGCGGAAGGGGGCGGGGGAGCAGGAGGAAGGGGGGGAGGAACGGCGGCTGATAAAGTTAATGACGTTCATCGAATAAACAACTTTTGCAGCTTCCATGGCTGAGGAGGCGGGGGGGGATGGGCGGCAATTAATAAAATTATTGCAGTTACTGAAATACAAACCCGAATGAGTTCTACTAGCTGTACTAATTATATCAAGTCGATTAACTTTATCAGCTTCGTTAGTAATCTTAGCAGCCCCCAGGGCGGGGATATGCAGGGAAGGAGCAGGCTGAGGAGGAAGAGGGGGGGAGATAATGAGAACGACGGGAAGGAGGAAGGGGAACGGCGGCCGATACAGCTAACGCATTTAATCCAGAACTTCCTGTCCTTCTCATTTCTCCGTTCCCTCCCTCCTCATCCCCCCCCACCCCAGCGGCGGCGCGCTAGGTCCGGCCTCCGGCGGCGCTCTTCTTCCTCGTGCTCCAGTGGTGTTCCTGCCTCCTCGTGCTTCCTCCTTCCTCGTGCTCCAGCGGTGCTGCTCCCTCGTCGTGCTCCCCCTTGATCGCGATTCCAGTGGTGCTCCTCCCCCCTCGTACTCCTCCCTCTCGCGATTGAAGTGGCGCTCCGCCCTCTTCGTGCTCCAGTGGCCCCCCTTCCTCCTCTTGACCTCTCCCTCTCGCAATTGAAATGGTGCTCTTTCCACTTAAGCCCCCCCCTCGCGATTCCGGAACCGCTCGTGTCTCCTCGCGCCCCCTCCGTCCTCGTGCCCCCGCCCTCGTGCCCTCTTTGGCCCTCTCAGCCGTGCTGATGGTCCAGAGAGGCCCTGGGAAGGCCCCGGAAACGGCTCCAGGCGGTGTCGAGAAAGGCCGGGAAGGTGCCCCGGTGAGGAAGCGGAGCTCAACGAAATGTTCCGAGGGGCCCGGTTCGAGGCGGTTCTGGGGCACTTGATTCTGAAGGTCTCGAGGAATTCAACGACATGTCCCGAAGGCCGCCATAAACCGAAGATTGTGAAAAACCACCCGTCGCGGTTGTTCACGACGCGAAGAGGTCAGGGTCGTCGTCGTTGCCGCCGCCGCCGTCGTCGCCGCCGTCGCCGCCGCCGTCGCCGCCGCCGTCGTCGTCGTCGTCGTCGTCGCCGTCGTCGTCGACGTCGTCGTCGTCGTCGTCGTCGTCGTCGTCGTCGTCGTCGTCGTCGTCTTCGTCGTCGTCGTCATCGTCGCCGTCGGCGTCGCCGTCGGCTGCGCCGCGCGCCTCCTCCCGGCCGGCGCCGAAGCCGCCGTGGGAGCCCGAGGCGCCGCCGGGGGCGGCCCTGCCGTAGACGCCGTCCTCCTCGTCCTCTTCTCGGGGAGATGCAGGACTCGGGTTCGGGGGACTCGGTCGGGCGGGGGGGATAATGGGGGGGATGACCCACGGGGTGGGTAGAGACAAGGGCCCGAAAGGGGCCCCGTGGGGCGTCTCTCGGAGCCAGCAGGGGCCCAAGAAAAGAAGCCCGAGAGGGCCCCTTGAGGGCCCTTTTCTTCACCCCCCATTCGGGTCACCCTCCATTGCCACCCGCCCGACTCGGGTTGGCCCGACGGGGCCGTCTGGAAAACGACGAGATGCGGCCCGACGCTTGAGGCGAGCCCACGCTGCAGGCGTCCTGCGAACACTGGGCCGCCAAAGAGTTCAGAGACGGGCCAGCCACAAGGCGTTGGCGGACCCGACCTCTGCGAGCTTTGCCGGCGGGGACTGGGTGAATTGAGGGCCCAGACACCCTCGGGTCCGACAGCAATCGAAACGGGACGTTTTGCCCATTTCGGCCTCTGGGGGCCCTCGCGTGGCCCTGGGCGCGATAAAAACAGGCTCCTCATGAAAACAAGTCATCCCTGGGGAATGGGTCCAGACGTCTGGGGAGCCACGTTTGGGGTGTTTTTGTCTCAGGGCTCACTCGCTGCTCGCCCCCGTCTGGGCATCCGCCGCCCTGCCAGAACTGGCGAGTTGCTGCAAGCTCTCTGTTGGGCCGGGTGGGCAGTGAGGTGCTGCTCTGCGCTTGGCGCGAAGGGAGGAGGGGGGGAAGATCGATGCTTTTGACACGGCTCTCGTTCTTTCTGGGCCTCCGGGAAGGACCTCGACGCCATGGCTGGGGTTCCCATGGAGATCCTTGTCATGCCGAAGCCCTGCAGATGTCTGGGGGCCGTTGTGTGAAGGCAGAGGGAGTGTAGGAGGAGGATAGCATATGAGGAGGAGGAGAAGGAGGAGGAGGAGGAGGAGGAGGAGGAGGAGAAGGAAGAGGAGGAGGAGGAGGAGGAGGAGGAGGAGGAGGAGGAGGGGGGAGGAGGAGGAGGAGGAGGAGGAGGAGGAGGAGGAGGAGGAGGAGGAGGAGGAGGAGATGTACAATGGGGGGCGATCCGAGCCCACCCGCCCAGAGAGGCCCCTCGGCGCCTGGCGCTTCTCAGCGTCGCTGACGCCGAAAGCAACCACGGGTGCAAGGGAGGAATTCGCCGGCCCAACGGGCCAGAGGCGTGCTAAGATCTCCGGTGACTACTTAGGGATATTTCTACTTCGCCGCCAAGGAGCCCCAAGACGCTCCCAAGAAGCCCCCAAGAGGCCCCCAAGACGGCCCCAAGAGGCCCCAACTAGCGCTCCAGGGCCGGCGGAATGAGCGAAGCGATTAAACAAGACTGCCACGAGAGGAGGTCAGGCAAGGCCAGAAGGAGAAACAGCGGGGTGCGGCTACCAGAGAGGGCCTTGAATGCACCGCTGTGGTGCAGTGGAGGAAAAACGGAAGAGGAACAGTAGGGACAAGAGGCAGACTCGGCCCTGCGTGTGCTGTTTCATCGCCTGACCTGCTGAGAGCGGAGCGATCGCACTCGACTGAAAGCTACACCTCGCACGATCGCAATCCCTGGGGCCCGAGCTGACGAGTATCACGCAGCGTGCAGCCTCGCATAAGACTTCGCTCACCGACGAACAACACACATCACAACTCTCCGCTGGGCTGGGGGCGATGCCCCTCGGGTTTCTTGAGCCCGAACCGCCGACACTGCACGTGACTGGCAGGGCACCGAGACACCCGCCCCACCACTTGTGAAACTTCAAAACTCATTCTGGGAAGTTCCTCCACCCTTCTCACCCCTCCACCCGCCCTCAGAAAGAGTCTCAACAACGCGGTAGTGCCAAAGGGAAGGAGGGGAGCATATGGACTATGTAAGCGTAAGCGACAACATTCGGTCTCGCGCATTTAGCTCGAGTAAATTTCTGCTACGCGAGGGAGGAGCAAAGACAATCCCAGCCGATGGCATCGAAGGTGTAGCGGCGACCGCGGGCGGCTGTGGCTTATCAGCATTGCCACAAGCAAGAGGGGCGCAGGTCGGATCATTGATCATAACTCTCGAGTAGTGTGCCAGGCCGAGAGAGGTCTACTATGAGAGCGCACTGCACCTCATCGCCGATGTCCTCCTCCGGCAGTGCTGCGCTCTGGCTCGGGTGAGCTGGGTCCTGGCCTGGCAACCTGGGACGGCCGCTCCAGCAAAGCGGGGGAGCGGCGACGATGCGGTGATGGCCAGGCCTTGTGGGTTCGCCCAACCCGTGTAATCAGGATGCGCGATGAGATTGCAGTGGCCCTGGCCGCCGATTTCGAAGCTTTTCGAGCGGGGCGCGGCCAACGAAAGTGGCCAAGGATGGACCGAGGAGGCAAGACTGCAAGGGTACCCTTGGGAAGGTTGCCAAACCTTGCTATGCGGGTTGACTGTATAGTGAACCATTCTCAGAGGCAGCCCAGCTGGTTGTAGGAGCTGGGGATAACGCCTTCGACGGCAATCATGATGCCAATCATGATGCGACAGGTAAATTTATGGAGCGTCACGACCGCCACGATATAGAGGGCGATCCAACTGACGATATCCAGAAAACGCAGCTTCTCCACGGGCGTGCGGTTTCAAATCCGATGAGTGCCTGGCCAACAATCGTGATACCAAGTCACTCCCTGCAGGAATATCTTCCCATACGTCTGAAACCCCGTGCAAAGAGACTGAAATGACTGAAAATGTAGTGCTGCCATTCCACCAAGCATGAGACAAATCAACTGTGTGTGCCAACTTGCTCCTTCAACTAAATGCGTTCCGGTAGAGCTGCCATTAGAGATTCCCAACTGACCGCTTGCTGCCGCCTCCTTTGTTACCCTGGGCATGGGTTTCGCCTTCTCGATGAGTGTCTGCGCCAGCGCCTCCAAGTGCCCCTGAGGGGCCGTCCCCAACTTCACCTTGCCGCCCACGGACTCCACCAGGTGGATGGTGGCCTGCTCGATCCCCAGCCTGCTGTGCGAAACCTCATGCTGGCCCTCGACTGCGGGCGCGCTCAGTTGGTCGGCGACCGAAAACTGTGCACGAGTGTACTCGTCGTTGTAGCGCTTCTTCAAACGCGAAGTGCCGGATCATCAGCCCGAGCTCCAAGTCGGAGGCCACCGACGCGAACTTCTTGTAGAACGTATCTACCCTGGAGTATGCTGATGGGCGGTCCGCCCGAGCCTGGTTGGAATTAGATGGGCATCTGTACGCGGCGCGCGCGATGTGCAAATGCGGCGGCGCGAGACTGGGCCTTGCTGTCGCAAGCTGGGCGACCTCTGCGTGCATCTTGCCTGCCCCGCGGGCCGCTTTCGCTGGCGCCGATTCCGTCGGCATGATCGCGCTGCGCAGCACTGATGCCGCCAAATCCCGTAACTGCCGCGCGCGCCGGCACGCCGTCGTGAGCAAGACCGTCAGTGCGGCCTGCATGCCTTGGGCGCGGCGTGCGCCCTCTGCCCGAGCTGGGGCGTCTTTTCGGCTCCGTCGGCGCGAGGTCGCTGAACCTCTGCTTCTTGCGCCCCCTGGCTGGCTCCGTGACCGCATCCCCCGCCGCGGCGGAGGGTGGGTGGTGCTCGGGCAGGGCCGCGAGGTCCATGTCCGCCGTGGAGCAGACGAGTCCGTGCCCCGACGATATGTGGAGGCAAGGGGGGGGGCACAATGGTCTCGATCATCTTTCCGACGGCCGGCTACAGTTTGAGCAGGGGAGCTGCAGTTCGGGAGCCCCGAACTCGCTGGAACGATGGCCTCATGGGCTCCATGAGATGCGCGACTGTGGTAGCAGCCGTTCTTCTGATAAGACCGCATCACGTGCCGCTGGGCATTTTCCCTGGAGCTGAGAGTCTGAAGGCATCCGAAGCACTGGTTCGTGACCGTCGTTACAAAGTAAGCCTCGTTTCAAACCAGACGAACCCGAGCCGCGGCCATTCATGCTGCAAGCAGGTTCACCGCAACGTCTGCCATCTTCCAAACTACTCTTAAATGCAAAATGGCGAGGTCGATCCTCCTCCTTCTCCGTTTCCCCATCCAGGATGCTGGTGGGCTCGATCGTGTCGGGCGGGGGTCGGATCGGAGTGGAGAGGGAGCTCGCTCGAGTCACAATGAAAGTATCCTCAACCCGCTTCGAATGTCCATCACAATGTAAGAAAACATCAAGAAAGGAAAAGCAGTGGGCGCAAACTCCTGGAACTCCACCGAGCTCTCGTGGGCGAACTGCAGGTCGTTGTAAAATTGTTCCGCCAGCGGATTCGCGTTGGGGACTTTTCTTTTGTTGTGGGCGGGGGGGTTCGCGTTGGAGACTGCGGGCCCAATGTTCGCCGATCGAGTCGTCGCCCCCCCGAGGCCCTCCAGCATGGCTGCGCGGGCTCGTCGGTGGCGAGGCGGGAGGCGAGCCCACCCTTGGTGCCAATTTGCCGCGGCGGTCCTGGAGGTCGTGGGTGGTGGGCAGGATGCGCCGGCACTGCCGCAGTCGCTGGGCCGAGCGTCGACGTGCTTCCCCGCTGCGATGCTCAGAGAGGCCCCGAGGCCCCGATCCCCAACGAGGAACGCGACTCGTGCTCTGATTCGAAGCCGAAGAGCACGAGGCATCAGGTAGGCGCCCCTGCATGCCCGACAGGAGGGCTGACTGCGCGAACGGTAATGCTCGTTGTGGCGCCGTGCGCTCAGAAGTTCAAGATGAGTTCCGAGCCCGCTGGCCCAGCCCGCAGGCTCTTAGAACGCTCCACCTGCAGAGGCCCCGCAGTAGTTAGCCAGCCTCCTAATATTCTCAAGAAGCGTCTGCGCTGTCCTGGGTAAGACATGGGGCCCCCATGTGGAAGTCGTCGTTGGTTCATGCTGACCTGGCCGAATAATTTCGCCAGAGTAGCCCGTTCGTCGTCGTCAAGGCGGGCACCGATATTCCTCGAGTGGTTGGCCAGGTTGCGGCTGCTGGTCGAAGCTGAACTCAGAAGATGTGCCGCCAATCCTCCTCCTGGATGTCGTGGTGCCCCCCCTAGCCTGGAACGGCGCGCTTAGTGC